AGGTTGACGGAAACTCGGGGACGGCGCCTACCTGGTGAGCCCCAAGAAGGACGAAACCAGTCGTGCGCTATCGAGGAGTTTTCAGCAACCTTATGAGTGGTGCAGTACAAAAATATATATGCATCGCGATATCTCGAATATTGTAGCGACGAAACATGAGGCAGCCTGGTGCAGCACATTCAGTTGCCTGAGAACATCATAAACGAGAGATTCAGCTGGGTTCACGGAAAACCAAATTAGTTTGCAAATGAGTGTATATTCGCTATTTCAACTCACGCTCATTTTTCGCTGCTCTATGACCTTCCTTGTTTAGGTGGTTTGGTGGATCTGGGTCACTCTTCGGAGATTCATTCAACACTGTACTCAGAATGGAATTTCTTACACGCTTTGTCCTTTTTTTACCAGCACTCATGTGAGATTGCCACCAGCCATCTGACTTGGCGCGCCAAATTAGTACTGGAAGGTTGGCAGTGATCAGGATGACTGGAAAACTCAGCCAAAATGCTGGCGAAAGTGCCAGCTTCAGATAGGTGAGGTAGTCCGACGATGATGAACTGACCTTGAACTGGTTGTTTGGAGGAAAATAAATAAATAAATAAATAAATAAATAAATAAATAAATAAATAAGTAAATAAATAAATAAAGTAGTAAACCTAGGTTCCGTGATCATCCAATGTTGGACAAGTTGGCAACTTCTTTTAGTCGAACGTAAACAAACAAAAGGAAAATTGCTTGAACTTCGGACTTCATGTGTCCATGTATTGGGTGCCGGTGTTTCAAAGAGACGGTCTAATCTGTCGACAATTATACTTCTGTAGGCTCAGGTCATCCATATGATCGATTTTGCCTACCTAGGCGACAGAATATGGGATCGTCCATGGACCTGAGCCATTCAGGTGAATAGCACACTTGACTTTCATTGAGCGAATGAACCCACAACGCTCCAAAAGGTTCTTAGCATTCACCAGAAAACTAAACCTACCGCCATCGACCTCATCATTTATGCAATATCTCTTGATTAGGTGTTACACAAAGCCATGAGATAACTAGTTGACATAGGAAGTGTTGCTGTCAGAACCAAAAGCTGGTGTTGAGGGTTGTCGTAGAGGTAAACAATAGTCACAAATTTCGTGTTTCAACATACTGACTCACTATATTTCAGAAGAAGTAAATTACTATGGTAGGTTGTGTTTAATCTCCCTAGTTTCTAACATAAAGTTGGTCTATGTTAGAGAGCAGTTAGATCAGAAGTGAACAAAATATTTTGCTCCTTTTGTGGCTTTAGCACATTGTCCATCAAACCAAGTAGGCTGAAATGAAACGGTCACTTTTGAGAGAGAAGCCCTAATTGGGAGGGTCAATCTAAAGAGGACCATTGCATACCGCGGGCAACTAACCATTATAAGCAGCCCATTAGCTAACCGCAGATTTTTTTCATAACAGTGGACTCAAACGCAACACTAGTGAGCCGTCAAAAAAGTTCATCGTCGGTTTGGATGCGCCACGTCCCACAAAACCTTATTTTAAAGGTGTTGGTGTAATAAGGTCTCTTAAGTGTAAATCCTGAATAGAATTTACCCCATGAGTTCATATCACACTGAGCTCAGCTAATCTCAGCTTTGTTCCCCATATGCTGGGCTAGCAACTGGGTCAGGTTCAAGTGTTGAGGCCTTATAGACAACAGCCCAGCTGCGGTAAATGTTCAGAGGTGCATTTCGCATTTGAATTACTGATGGTCGTGTCAAGAGGTCTGCCAATAGTCAACAGAGATTTCGTCTTTCCAGTGAAGCTAATCTGTGCCTGGAAAGCAGAGAAGCACTGTACAGATGTTTCATTCCTGTCGTAAATAATCCCTGGTGCATATCTCACGAAACTCCAGGGAGGTTCGGACCACAAGCCTTGAGGCCGCGCGTTGGAAACTCTCTGGAGTTTCGTAAGGTTCGCACTGCGATAGCCCCCAATAAGGATGGAAAAACTGTACAGCACTTCTCGACTAATTTAACTGTAGCAAGGCCACTGTTTCTGATTAACTATCAACCACATATTCATCCAATATCTCACCAAAAATAGTAGTCGTCTGAGTGTGATACGTTCATCTTTTATTGTGCCTGTCACCAAGACGCCTGCATCAAGTGGTATTTTAACTTCTACTTCATGATCACGAAACTGCTTATTCTATTTCATTCCGATAGCTCTAATCGGGAAAGGTGCCTAAAATGAGTATGGCTTTTGAAACCCATGGACTGCAGAAATGTCATTGCGAACCCAGACTATGTTCTGCTGTCAAACAAGTGACCGAAATGACCTACAGCAAATCGTTGGTGGTTCTTCCTCTAATGATCGTCTGGTGGAACGCGTCCGATTCGTAGTATCGGCTGAACGAGTTGACAGATGAAAGACATTAAAATTTACTTGCTCCCGCTGAAACCACACATACGCAGCAATAATAACGATATAATGACCATTCTGTTACCAAGAAAGAGAGCGTCGGTCAGCATGAGGGAGAAGGGTGTAAGGGGGTTGGTTGTATTCCCTAATTTGTCCACATAAGCTTAGTCTTCGTCACGGCTAGGAATGGTTGCATCAGTTCCCGATTCACTCCGTGATTAGAGAAGACTCCTGAGCCTGTAAACATCAGTGCATATCACAACCGCAGGTTTGTGTTCCATCTTCATTTCAAGCATTTTGCTCCCAGAGAAGCCGAAACGGCTAAGACGACAGTGCCATATGACTACCACATAGGTACCGAAATAGAGGGAGCGATCGGAATAGCAGTTTCTACCTCAGTAGCGGACTATTTATCTGGAAACTTTATCTGCATGAGTGTGAAAATCATTCTATTGGAATCTTTCAACACCACCCAAGTTGGCTTAATCACGATGTTGACCAGCAACTCGTCGCCTAACTGATGTGTTCAGACCACTAACCGAGGGGTCACGCGTTTGGCCCTCCCTAGAGTTTGGTGAGATGCGGACTGCTGGTGATTCTCGATAAGTATGAAACATCTGTACAGCACTTCTCGGCTTTTCAGCATAGTTGACCCAATCTATAGAATAAAATCTCGTCTAAAAATTACCAGGCTGCCCCCTGTGCAACTGCAATATTGATCTGTGTTGTTCAAACATTTCAGTCAGGAATCTCGAAAAAGCAAGCCCCATTATGGTATTTTATTGTGGCTTCTGGACGACTCTAACAAATGGTTCATGTGTCTCCTAATGTAGGTCTGCCATAGGGCAAATCTAACTGACTGTGTGATATCCATAATTCAACGCTGAATTGAGAACAAACCATTTTCGAGATGAATTCATTTCGCGCGCACTGGACCATCGCAAAACAGTGATATTGTGCACTCGTTTGCTTACTAATTTGTTCTTAACGGGTTAGTTCGATCCTAACCAAATCTCTCGTTCATGGCATTCCTCAGTGAATACGCTGCACAAAATCACATATCATAAATGAGAGATTCAACTGCGATTTAGTTGAGCCCCACGTTGAATTGAAACTGGTGTACACATGATTGTTTTTCTATAGAGGTAAATGTCGGTAGCTCAGGTAGCGTAGATGGTGGTCGTTGGCTTGTTCACTGAGCTGGGGAGTTTGATTGCAAGCAAAAGCAAGGTGACATCATCAGTGCGTTATTGTGGAGCGTAGTAGTGCGTAGTGTGACCCGCCGCTACGCACTACTACGCCCCACAATAACGCACTGATGATGTCACCTCGATTAGTGATGAAACGTTTGCAATCAAATTGCCCAGCCAAGCCAACGACAAATGATTGTATTTCGCGAACCTCGTACAAGTTGAGTTCAAGTAGAAAATTGGGTTAATGAAAACTCGGGGACTGCAACTACCTGATGAGTCTCAAGAAAGATATAACAGGGCAGCCAGCAGAACCACCCATCCATATAACCAATCGCCATCGAAGGTCAACACCGGCTAGCATTACGTAACTCAACACACGCGTACCACTACTCAGCTCACAACCACTGACAAACCGCTACGATCCACTCTGCCCTCTAGCAACGCGCTGCTGACAACTCGATTGGTGACGAAATGTTTGCAATCAAATTGTTCACTTCAGCGGACAAACTAAAGACCACACAGATGTTTACAGGTTTACCATGCTGTGAAACGTTCCAAGTCATTAAGTTCACCTGAGTGACCTCAAGTACCCTTAATTTATAGTGGAAACACTTTCCCACAAAGAAGGAAAAGTGCCTTTGGACAATAGATGTCATATCAGTAATACTACATGTACCTCGCTTGAAGGTGGATTATACCCCTTAAAATTTCAGCCACAAGAAGTATTGCACCATCATTTGAACCCATTAATTGAGCAGTGATAGAATAAACCACGCGCTACAAGGTTTAACTTTTCGGAATCTAACCTCATCTCTACTACAAACTCCCCAGTAAACTCAAAATACACTGTTGATGGTGTGAGTAAATCTGGAAGTTTAAACGCAGATTTTGTCCTTTCCGTAGAATTAGAGCACTCTTACTGTCCTCACTGAGAATCATCAACGGTGCGCATCTCACAAAGCTCCAGGTAGTATTGAAGGTGCGACGTCCAGGTGAAAGGAAGAAGGCCTTCGCTGCGGAGTTATTTATTCGGAAATGCCAACTGACCGGTTGCAGACCATTGAACAAGGAAGCAAAACTCTAATCTGCATCTTAGTTACAAAACCTGGACACAGATCTTCTCCCGAACGAGTCTTCCTGGAGATTCATTGCCTCCAATCATTCGTCGGTCAAATAAAAGCAAATGTTACAAAGTTGCCCCGCGAATTCCGCAACAGAATTCCATTTTTCAATCGACGCAAAGCGAAATTCTACGAACAACACATACTACTCGCGTGCCTCTCGACCAGTAGTATCACCGTTACACGGGTAGTTGGCTGTACACTTAACCGTGCACTGACAAGCGGCTAATCAGCAGTGTGATTAAATCGCAATCTGAAAAGCCATATTTCCATCCACAAGCTATCTGTTAATAACTCAACGAACAACAAGCCACATGATGAGTGGAACTTCCATCTGAAAAGTCGCCACTGGAGGAACCATTCAAACAGTGAGCAAGCGATGGGCATTCCGTGAACGAAGAATGAGTAGCAACATATCCTGTTCAAATTTGCGTTAAACACAATGTTGATCAGTCATTCGTTGCCAGACGGCTAAGTGTTAAGACTACTAGCAGGGAAGTCGCAGATTAGAGCCTCCTTGGGGTTCCGTGAGATGCGCACTGCTAGTGATTCCCGATAGGGATGGAACAGCTATCCAGCACTTCTTGGCTTTTAAGCCTCGATGGGCTTCGCAGCACAATGCGCAGATCGGTGATCAGCTATATGAACCGTCAGACCATTCAACATCCATCAGACGTCTAAGCAGTCGGTAAAACCAAGCAAAACTTATTGATTCCCAGATTTTTAGTGTGAGCTTCTTCCTGATTTGAATCTCCACACAAATGAGGAGACGGTGAGGTGATTTATATCATTTTCTCTGGTGTTTCGAGGGCAGTGAATATGTTCTGGCACACTGGCCTAGATTTGTTGAATAGTTAGACAGTCTACCGAATCCATAATATCGTAAGTTGTTGGTATACGCTATTAATTGCGTGACTCGATGTGAGATTTGGATGCGGTAAGAGAGTTCTGGCACCCATACAATTCCAACATCAGGTAGACGTGGTGATAAAGCTGGTCTCGAGTGCTGCTAGCCAAAATATTTTGTTGCTGCGCTTCTGTGTACTTGCAGCCGGTTCTCCAATAACGCTGATTAGTTCGAGCCAGTCACACGAACGTAACAATGTAGACGCAGTGTCAATGCACTCGGTAATCACAGACAAGATTGGATTGAGCAGAACACCCGGTGAAGCCGGTTCTTGGTCTTGACTGTGCTCCACTGCCAAAGCACACACGTGACTGTGCATCCGCTAAAATTACTCATAAGAGAATATATCTGTGTCTAAACTGCAGGTTATAATAGGCAACATGCGGTGATACATGCGCTTAGTACACTGCCAAACAAGAGGTCATCAAATTTTTGTTCCCTACTAAAAGCAACGCTAAGGAAATCCATTCCGAAAACCGTTCCTAGCTAAGCAGCGGTCTCTTCAGAGCTCCAGACGAAATTAAAAGTCAGAGGTTCTCTTTCCTAAGCAGTGATCTTTTCTTAAGGTCATCTATACGGAAGGGTCGTCTGAGTCAATGGCGGCTTGGTGGCCTGAGACTTCGCTTTTAGTTCTCAATAGCTTCGTACTGTAGATGTGTTGGGAGTGATAGACATTCGATTTCCGTGTAGAATGACTTGAAATCTTTATATCACGCAGTAGGTTGCCTGAGAACCATGCACACAAAACAAGACTTCTTTGCCATCTCGTTACAACAACTTGATGGATAAATTCGTGAGAATTATTCCAAGGTGTGGAATCGTAACGTTGGTTGCATCCATAAAATTAATGTTAGTTTCATCTATACTTTCACTTGAGGCGCCTCTTCTGCTGCTGCCAATGCACAACTGCTTTTTGTCATTCTGGACAAATGGCAACCCGGCATCAGTAGACTGGAGCTTTTTGCGGATGCACTCTGCATTTCACATTCGATACTTTGAAACAATTTCTGATGTCTTCAAGATGTTAGTTTTCCCTTTTCAAAAATTCAAACTCCAATTGTTGAAGGCTGGATTGGCTGAAAATCAATATTTCGGGCTGGCTGAGATGAAAAATGTGTTTTATTCACATACCATGAGGATCATTCATCAACTTAACCAAATAGACAAAATGACAGCCCATCTCACCGGTTGCTAACTAACGGCCAGAGCGAGCTACACTCACGGCAACCCTGTGATTAAGGCGTACAAGCGCGCGTTGAGTACAGCAAATGATATCAGATTTCCACCCAGCATGCCACAGAATTGACCTAAACACATAAGCCACTTCAGGCCCATCACCTAGGGTGTGGGACGCTATGGCGGGCTCAGGGGTGATGCTTCAAATTGAGAAACTGATCAGGTGGTATATGCACCCTCACCCACAACCGTCCAGTAACGAACTCCCATCCGTTAAAACTATACTGCGAAACTGAAGACTTACTGTTTGAAAACTCTATTTCTACAGTTCATGATTTTTGCTAATTCGTAAGGAGAATTGGAAGCCAGAACTCCATGTCTACAGATGCACCTCACAAATCGGGCAGTTATTTGCTTTGTTCTGACTTCAAATGCATGAAGGTTCCATTCAGTCAGCCCCATTCCGCCAAAAGTAATACTCTGCCATTACGAACTAGGTTAATCTTTCAGGTTAAATGAGGTTTCTCTTCAAGGATACCCAGGCTACCAAAGTGAAACAACGTGGACGGACGATAAAAGGTGATTGTCAAAGGAGTCATTACACCAATGAACGTTGTCTATTTGAATTACTACAGGGAAGCCCATTATTTGTGTACGTATTTTTGGTAATCAGAAAAGTTGACGCCCCCTGTAGCAGAGAATTAGTTATTCAATTTGGTCAATAAAGAGGTTTTATCAAAATCGATGACACCTTATTGATATTTGTGAGATCCTTATAACTCTTCCTAAGCATTTTTCTACTGTGCTTACATTTGAACCAGATCTGACACGCAAATCTATTCCATTAGGTCTCACCAATACGCTTTATATCAGATAATGGTTATTAAACCCTCGGCAAAAGCACCTATGAGCACACTAATTAGACGACGATTGTAGCAGAAGGCAAGCCATTAACACCCTCATAAAACTTACTATGACCCACTGATGCAGTGCTTATCCTTTCGCTCGTCGTCACATTACCAATTCAAAACAGCCTACACTGTATGCACGTTGGAATTCGACTGTAGCCGGGCCTTTCATCTGATACTATGGAGAAACGCAGCATCGTGACTAGGACTAGATTCTGACGTGTCTAATCAACTCATTTGCTAGTTGGCTTGTTAACATGGTGAAAATTTTCTTCTGAAAGACCCAACGGGCTTTAATTCAGACTACTCAGTGTGTATCTGCTTCCCATAATCGATAAGTGAAGCAAACGCACATGAACTAATCGATAGCACGAATAGAGGTTGTGCAACACATGCTGACATAGATGCTTATGCTGTGTTGTAGCATCTGTTACCGCTTAGGCTACAGAGCATGCATGCACTGCTGTGTGCTTGTCACCATCGGGCAATTCATATAAAATACGAGGCTCCATAAGTTGAAATTACTTCGAGCAACCACCGACTTTGATAGAAAGCATTCCCACTTCCAGTCATTCGGGTTAGTCGGACTTGTATCCATCAGGAAGCTCCCAACTCCCGTCCAACTTACGAAAACTTCGTCAAACCTTTCATTCACATTGGTCAGAAAACCAAGAAAAAGTCGTTTCCATTGAGAACAAAAAGACGGCAGACAAATCAACAACATGGTCTCCGTCTCGGTAGTCGGACGAACTGACCTTGATCAGTATTTACTACCCATAAGGGTGAGTCATCGTTTTCCTTGAACCCGTTCGCCCTAATTATGGGCTAATTTCCTAGGGGATACTGTTGAATTCGTATGCAATTCATGCATTCCATGTATAGTAGTCCCTCCCGACACAATAATGTATATCAGTACGCTCCAAAGTAGGGGAGCAATGGATCATGTTGTCACTTTTAATATTCCTCACCATGCATATATCCCATATTCGTGTATGTGCCATATATTTGGCGGCGCCAAAAACTGCACTCCTGTCATCTGACATGATATATTACCAGGGTTCTACCATAATACACTGGACAAGCCTCGGTTACGTCTAAACAAACGAGCATTTTGACACTTCGGAATCGTGACTGGTCCGTCCTACCTCTCGAAAGGACTTAGTAGCGATCCTGGTTGTGTGAATCAACTGACTTGCTGTATTCTTGAACTCAGCCGGTTGATTTTTTCATTTGTTTGCTAGATTCGTCGAATTTGTTTCTATCCACTAAGCTTTTAAATGAGAATATTGTACTACAACTATTGGCAAATTACTTTGATCAAATATGAGACTGGAACGAAACTCTTGTTCACGCTATAATTCAACTGAATATACCTTATAAAGACTGTCAAATTTTTCGGCCTGCACGAGTTCCATGAACGGAAGTTTTAGTTTAATTCTATTGGGATATAAGGACGGAACAAGCGTCCAGTTGCTTTGCTAGTCAATACTTTTTCCATACCAAGTTGGGCAAAATAAAACCATCCAGTAACGAAATATACTCGGTTGCACACTGATTTGCCTTTGCCGGGAGATTCAACTTAGTCTCAACTGAATAACTCCTTTAGGCTATTCTTCGATTGGATGTGCTGCACCAAAGCCGTCTCACGATTTAGTTGGTGACAGTTGAGGGTATCTCAGTGCATATTTATTGGAAAGGATGCCACCCATATGACCGTGGTATTTATTTCGGCATACTCGATGACATTATGTGATAACTTTGCCCGATCTATTGAGAATGCTACGATAGTTCAGAACATTTGGCAAGCTCATATTAATAGATTAATGTTCCTTAGGTAATGGATGATTGAAGTAAGCTCAACTAATTCAAATAATGAATTTGTTTTAGGTATTAAAAGTCAGTATTCTCCTAAGTATCCCCCTGATGATCACACCCCTGGCAGCACACGACTTTTTCAATTGGGCTGCTAGCAAGTCATGCGTGCGTGGTATTTCGGTTCAAATGCCTTCCGACCTATATTTGGGTTGTTTCTAGGCACTGGGCCAGTCAACTTGACTGGACCGATATTAATGTCGCGAAAAGGAGCTTGCATCCACACTTTTAAGACTTAGCCAATTCCTAAGGATGGCAGTGCTTGGGTGACCTTATCAATAAAACTGAGGTAACTGAGGCATAGTGTTCTTAATTTTCTGACTCATTTGCATGCAACAAGCAGTCGTTAAGTTATCATATATCAGATGCATGATACAGACTCGCTTTCGCAGCAACCTTGGAGCAGTTTCCTGGGACTAGACAAACATTTCGGAGGTGTACTTGAGTAGGATGACACTCCACGTTGTTACACTTGGATAAGATCAGATTAACCCTTTTTCTCAATTAAAATGATGAATCAGATCGTTTTGACTACAACTGGGAAGTAGCTGATTTCCAATTTGGTCAAATTTGAGGACTAAAAAGGATTATTTCTTCCTCAGAAAGTGGGAAAACTCAGTGAAATTTAAGGTGAGATGCGTTTCCAGTAAAATTAGACCAGCTTAATATAACTTGTAATCGTTTATAAACATCAGTTTTTCCCTATGGTAAGCATTGAGACAAACATTTTGACGAGTTTGTTGGAGGTACCTCCTCAACAAAATAGGGAAGATGACTGTGCTACTTGCATACAAACTGCGCCGAAAAACGCTGTAGAGAACAAACAAGCTTATGGAATGGCAAACACTATCGCAGTCCCAAATTGCAAAGACTGAAGGAAGAAAATTTCGGTTGACCCACTTTTCGGTCAAACATTCCGCTACATTTTCACTCACTGACAAAGTCCAGCAGACTGGAACAGATGCAAACTTAAATAACATTCTCAAATTTGCGATCATCTGGTGCATCAGCACATGCAGTCGGGTCACCTGTTCCCCCATCTTTTCACCTGGTTCCTCTTTGCACGTGTCACATTAATGGTCCCGCTGAAAGATACTTGTGAAGGGGCTTGACGCCCTAGATAGCTTAAAATAATGACACGAAATCTATCTGAGCTTAACGGTAAAAAGCAGTGGAATGAAACGAACAATGATTCAGATAGAAAGATAATCATTGGTGGTAGGGAATGGAATGGAATAAGTACAGTGAGAGTGCTCGCGGTAGCTCAGTGGTTAAGGCACGCACTTATTGACCGGAAGGCCCATGGTTCGAAGGCAACTCCGGCCTATCGACTGCTCCAATCTAGGCTTAGAACATTTGGCAGTACCTTATCCCTTGTGCTTCTTTCACTTAGCATGCCAACTGGCCACCCAAATGGCGCAACAAATGAGCGATTGATACTATCATTTTTTATTTAGGTACACCGAGAAACTGTAGTTCCAAGGCAATGCGATTTGTGATGACTCTGTTGGTTCCGATGCAGTTCGGTTTAATCCAGTTGCCAATGGATAAAAATTCGAAGCCCACTGTCAGGATAGGTCCTGTTAGTTAGAGTTGCATCACTAGTCATCCTGCTCCCAATACGTTTATAAGATGGACAACAGTTTACATTATACCTCCCTAAATAACGAAACCTACTTTCGCCCCCTGGGTTTTTTCATCGCGATCACACAGCTGACTAGTCACTCATCACCGGACGCTTTAGTCTTCAGCTACTAGCCGGGAGGTGGCAGGTTTGAATCACCTTACATATTCGTGAGATGCGCACTACTGGTGATTCAAAACAATGAGATATCAGCCAAACAGCGCTTCGTGGCTTTTCGACATAGACTGGGTTCTATTACGGAAAGAAATCTCGGTTGTCTGCACCTTATTAAACAAGACCTACGGGTTGTTCAGCGAGATTCATCATTTTGAGAGAGGAAGCCGATAGCTTTCTGACTGCCATCCACTTTCACAATTTATCTTTCAGGCGATTGCTGAAGAACCACAATTTCGAACAACACAAAAAGCCCTTGAGTACGAATTCCAACAGCAGGAATATGCGAGAGACCGAACAGCATGGATCAGTCGTAATATCCTACCTCAGGTAAGATACATCCTCTCAGTCACCATATGCCACTCTTCAGAGTCTACATATCTTGAATGATCTACGGAACATTGATGTAAGTTTTTACAGTGACCATAAATACAATAACATTGGGCTAACAGGAAAATGTGCTTGAAAACCAGGCCGCTCTGGAATACCTGATGGATATAACGGACATGGAAAAGCTTTATTCGGTAGGTTGTTTGAATGCGAGAATATCCTGATTGCTTAAAATCCTCATAACGAATACTGTTCACAAGCCTAAAAGTACGTTAAACAGTGGAGTGAGTCTCTTTGATGTTGATCAACTGATGAATCCCCCAAGTAGTTTGGTTGCTTGTGGGTAGACTGCTCGGTGTCTTCATAGATCTCGTTCACCGAGTGGTACGCTTGATAGTCCTAACGGTGGTAACGTCTATTTTGGTCAAATTTACGCCAGCCCCATCTCGAAGTGCTTTATTCACCCGTTACGCTATCAGAATCATACAAGGCTATGTGCACCATAATTTCAACTGGAAATTTTTTTCACAGCCAGAATACCACATTTATCACCAGAAGCTCCTAACACGGGCACGCGAACCGTCCGTCGCAGAGGCTGACCTTAACACGACTGGAATAGATTGGCGGCCACATTCGCTCCGTATTCGAACATGTGATATTCCTCAGTTACTGAGTTCTGACGGAATCGCTAAAGTACCTCGATGTATATTTCGTAGGTGTCTGTACATTTTTGTCGCTCACCGCGGCCAGTTGCAGCGGTCACCGTATGCATCTAAAGTCACACTCAGAACTCGAAGCGTCCCATAACTACGCTCTGGCTGATTGAAACAAACAACTGGCTCTCCTCTGTTCGGCTTGTTGACATGGTTCTTGACAGTGAGACTGTTGACGCAGTAAGTAAAAATCGCCAAGGCGATGCCAGAAGTGAATTACGTTTTGTCCATGACCATTCAATTACGTCTGTCTGTTTTGTGAATAGAAGAGACTTTCCAGCGTGGTTGAGATGCCAGAGGAAAATATTAGAGCTTACCGCTATAACGAAATGAGACCTCATGTGAGGTTCTCCTCAAAAATATTATTTTTTTCACTTACGAAAAGAGTGCCTGCATTCATTGTTGGTAGTGATCTCCTTATTAGCGCCAGCCCTTCCACTGGTAATAAGGCCTACAAATGTTCTGAAGTCGATTGCTTACTTACTCCTCCATGAATCCATGAATTACCGTCTACTTCTCTGCCTATGTCTGCCTACTTCTCTCTGTCTATGAGCTGTCCTCACAGCATCACATTCAACATCATGGAAGTACTTCATTTACGTCGGTCCATTACAGCAAAAGCATCCTGTCTACTTACTACGTCTTGCCGATAAAAGTTGAGCCATCAACTGGCCAACATAAGTGGTTGGATGAACATTAGACCGAGTACCATACTCTCATTTCTAGTGACCATGCCGCCCAAGTTTTAATTTTGCACTTCACCGCAGGGTTTAATTTTCTTAAAGCTCAGGAAATCACCTTGCGTCTTCCGCTTATCCCCACTTGTTAAGTTGCCCTGTGTCTAGTTAGAAGATATGTGATAACCAGGTGACTGAGATCAGTTGGTTTCGAAAAAAACATTGGATTGCTAGCACTTGACGCAACGCGCTGGGATACAGGCTAGATTTTGTGAATATAGGTTCTGATAAACTCTTACTAGTTCACACTGACGGATTCCACCACTACTTCAATAACTCAGGAGTTTGACCAAGTGGAATGTTAGGATCAATTTTTCAGAGCGAATTGCAAAAAGTGGCGCAAAATTTACCCATGTTTTTATGCGTGCATAAATCGACCTATATTGACCCACTCATTCATTTTATCTAGAATCACTTATTGTTAAAGTCTGTCACATTCCAGTTTGCACGTAAAATGTCCCGCGTGATCTTGTTCTTCCGTCAATTTCTTATTATGCGTTGTTCCTAGTTGAAGTTTACTGTTCCATTAATCAATCAGTTATTCTAAAAGTAAGGTCTAGATTGGAAGAGCTACAGGTTGACAAGGACTTTAGCGTTTACTCGTTGATCCCTAGCCATTACAGGCACACAGTACGCGTCAGTCGAAAAGTGCACAACGATATGTGGTTAACAGCTCACCAGGTCGAACAATTAGGTAGTCTTTGTTTTGTTACCAAAATAAGGTTATTAAGAATAATGGTGAGGAACCATGAGAATTTGGAAAGCCAGGCGGTTGATTGGGCGAGCGGTATTCAATAGCTCATTTGATAATCTAACATGAATGTGAAAAACGCTTCGACAAATAATTTCAGCAAGTGTGAATTCGCATTCTTTTAAGTTGACATTTTGACAGAGGAATGTATGAAAGATTCTTCTCTATACACCTGTACGTGTGAGCGGCATCCGAAGTAACTTTACCCCGTCAACAGTGTTTGGGTCACTAAACGTTTTTACTTAGTTAATGGATGCCAGGTGCAGAGCCGAGCATCTAATATGGGAATTGAAACTTAGATGTATTGGTCATTTGACCGTTGAACTGTTAACTTGCAAACGTTTCGTCACCAAACTGAGAGACATCATCAGTACGCGGTTGGGTGGTGGGGTTCGACAGTTTGCCGAACTAGAGTACTAGAGAACTTCGAAGTGAGTGAACTAGCCGATCGGACTGAAACAAAAGCAACTTGGGCTGTTAGTCATAGGAATGTGAATTCGATAAAGGTCCGCAGATTTAGCCACCCCAGAGTGTATATAGCGACAGCAAGGCCGTTTTGTGGCAACCTTGTGTGGCAAATCTTACCACCTTATCTATTGGTTCTGGTACTTTGGTTGTCAACTTTGTATGACGGGTGTTTTGCGCAGTGTAATTATACTATACCTTACAAAGAGTACCTTCGTAAGAAGTGAAGATTTCTAGATATAAAAAGGTGGAAAACCAATGTCGGTACGGATGGTTATTTCTGCGAACATGTATAAATTCTTAGACAAGAGGTGACATTCGTTCTCTTCTTGCTCAGTTAGCGCATCTTGGCTCATTCCTATGATGCGCGAAAACCCAATGCAAATTGTGTAATGGCTAACAGTACGACCTGGAAAATGTTTAACAATGTACAATCAGCCAACTACCGTTCGCGGAACGTTATAAAATGAATTCTGATGATAGCAGAGAAAAATTGAAAGGCGCGATGTATTATTTACCAAACCAGCGAAACGAAGATATGCTCATTGGTACATATGTGGCGGCACATAGGTTTTTTTAACGAACACTTTTCAGATTGTACTACATTAATTGGTGCATTTCGACAAAAGTACTTTAAAAAGAATGCAATTAAAAATAATCACTGATCTCGCGAGAGTTGTCTTGGTACATGCAAGAAGCCAAAATTGAGCATATCTCTTGTTAATGAGTAATTGTTCGAGTTGTTTCTCACGATTATGTTGAAAGTGTTGTCGTTATACGTCGAGAACATATTTTGGACATAACCACATGGAATTGGCCTCAGTATAGTTGTTGATTACTCGAATAAGGATTGAACTAAGGCCACAGCAGTTCTTCCAATGTACACTGTGTTGTTCCTGATCCAAAGCTGACTGATTGGTGTTGTAGACTCCATCAGGATCCTCAGAAGTAAAACCCCCCATTTGAAGGAAGATATGCATTAGTAATGAACGAATTCGGGTTCGAAATTCAACGGGAATAAACTCGCAAAACCCCAAAGAACTCTACTCTAGGTGAAAAGGAACTCATTTTGGACGATTTGAACGCAACTTGGAAGTTGAAATAAACCGGATTCGACTCTGAGTAATGTGGAACCTCTGGAATATACCGATCTGATGAGCTGAGATTGTAGCTGAGTTGTCGTTAGTGTGATAAGTTGTCCATACTCCACCAGGTGTGTCAGAAAAATGGCAGAATTCATTATGATCGAAAGCCTTAGAAGAACATATCGGGGGGAATCAAACGTGTTATGTATGGAACAAGTCTGACAGATAGCAAGTTCTGGAGAAATTTGCGGTCCAAGTAGTTAGCCTTATGAAACTAACTGCGACGTACAATTTGATAGATGAAGGTGCCTAATTATATCAAACCATTTGACTCAGAACAAGTGCTATTCAGGGCACTTTCAAAAAAGAGTGAAGCTTATCTATTTTGAATAAGCCGGTGTGCTTAGACAGTCGGTATCTGAAACACAACAGCGTCAGTCAACTCAAATTTGTTAGTATCACATCAGCATTTGATGCCTGTCACGTTCAGAGGGTCTCGTTCTGCATTCCTCGCTAGCAATTTTTGTAAATCTCTTCATAGTTTAACTATGTACCAAGAATTTGTGGGCCGATAGTTTGATTGTGCAACAATCCTTGGTTGTCAAGATGGATTGGGCTATAAAATCGATAAGCTGCTTACCACAACCCTAGAACTAACTATTCGCTTCAGAATGTTCCCAAATACCATTCCTGTATTCAACTAACCGCAACTCACTCGTAATGACAAAGCCAGTAGCGCAAATCTAGCACTAATATACAAAACATTGTTTTAAATTCAGATGCCGTTACATTCCAGGGCAGTTCTCTACGAAATGTCACACGTTCTCGGAAGATCTGACAATTAGTAATCCACCGGCTCGAAACGTAATCATACAGTTAAGTGATGATACCACCAAATTTCAAGAAACCCCTACACAAGGGGTCTCACTGAGACTAATGGACTGTGTTTTTATGGAACAGATGAGATATGATTTGCATTTTCATGCTAGCCATTAATTGCCAGATACTTCTAAGGGATCGCTGAATATTCTGACAAATCCACTAGATAGTATAGGGAGATCTGGGAGAATGGCTTGATAAACAATCTGTAGTTTTTTTACTTGGCAACGTTTCGCTTTTGACGCAAAAGGTTCATCAGGCCAAGTGAACAGGTCACCAACTTGACCAGATTATAAGGCAGACGGAGAACCAATCAGTAAAACCTCTACATATTAGTGCACTAGATCAGTTCTGAGTGTCAATTAGCGGCTCTTGTTGGTTAGTGTGGTTGCCAAAATCTTACACTGATGGGTTAGGGGAGTTTCAAATTATTTCCGATCGGTTTACTTCCCAACCATCCACTTCAATGTGCTTCAAATGATGATTAACCGTGGTTGTCACTAGTAGATTTCGATGGTCTTGTGAGATTGTGAGTGCTACGACTATTTAGTTGGGGGAGGGGTAATGATGACTGCTTCTGATAATCTCACACCAACATGAGTTAGCTCAACTGATCCAAGACCGTTCACCATACGCTTACCAGTTCCACCCCTTCTATTCTGTTAACACTGGGATGCTTGGCAATTTCTACCGCCTCGGTTATCAGTCTCTGCGACGTGGTCCGTGGTCTTCACCTAAAAACTTCAACATTTTCTAAATCCATTATGTGTCCTGTGTCCAGTGCATGATCCGCAACTGCGGAACATTCAACCGTGTTTCTCGACGGCCTGTTTATTTTCCTCCTATGCTCTCCGATTCTGATGTGAAGTTCCCTGGCCGTCTGTCCTATGTAGACCTTAGTGCAGTCGTTACATTTAATTCCGTAGACACAGTTTTTGGTTCTGTTCGCCGGGGGGCTATCGTTCAACTGCACCAGTGCAGAGCGCAAGGTGTTTCCCTGGAATTCGTTGCGGAATTCGTGGGGCCACTTTGTAACATTTGCTTGGATTTGACCGACGAATGAGTGGAGGCAACGAATCTCTAGGAAGACTCGTTCGGGAGAAGATCTGTGTCCAGTTTTTGTAACTAAGATGCAGATTAGAGTTTTGCTTCCCTGTTCAATGGTCTGTAACCGGTCAGTTGGCATTTCCGAATAAATAACTTCGCAGCGAATGCTTTCTTCCGTTCACCGGTACCAGCACCCTTCGTAACTGACGCCTAACCAGTCTAGCTGGATGTACACTACCCCGAAGTTTGTCCTTCACTTCAATTTGGGCCGCATTTCGATCAACAGGGCTCTTGCACGCCTAAACATTGATGAGGCAATGCTGGCGAACATCGACTTCGGATGAGCACTCGAGTAATTCAAAACTGCCCCAGCGTCGGTTGGCTTCTCGCTCACTGTAGTCTTAATTCCCCCCACCCGACCTTATGTATCATGCAGTCTAAAAGGACCAGTGTACTCGAGGTTGACTCTAGCTCCATACTAAGTTTGAGGTGCGGAAGCAGTCCATTCAGATAGTTATAAAACTCACTAATCTTTCCTCGTTTCATCACGACGAACGTATCATCCACATGACGCCAGAATACCGTGAGCAGGTATGGAATTCCACCTAGAGCTTTCTTTTCGAATTCTTCCATAAATATGTTTGCCAAAACCGGTAACATTGGAGATCCCACTGCTAGACCTTGTTCTTGAGTGTAAACTACGGAGTCAAGAAACCTGCTGGTAGTAGTTATGGTTAACTCACACTCAGCTAGGATATGGCATCGCTTATCCTTCAATCACAGTTTCGCAGAACTTGGTCTTGTTTAGACTGGATGCTGTGGGAGTGATGGTTCAAGATACGTATGAATTATTCTTCCTCCTGAGCTACATATAATTTGCCGACAGTGTCAGGACCACTTATTCATTGGTTTCTCGAACAAAAGTTGATAGTTCACTGGCAGCTGGATCGCCTGGCTAGGTCAACAGCTAGTCGAACAAGTATAGCACTCGACTCAATTTCCCTGCACTTACAGACCAGCTAGTTCTATAATCAACAGCCTGGAAATTTTAAAGAAATGCCCAACATCCCTGATGTACCTTATTCGCTCGAACAGGGCAGATAGACCTCGTGTGACTGAGTTTTTGAGACTAAAGCTGTAACTGTAACAAATCTTATTATTGGTTGTTAAGTTTTATCCACTTAGAGATGCACAAAACAAAATCACTCCGCCAAACAGGCAGATCTCACCCGGTTTGCCCTGATGTGTTCGCTTCGTGGATGGATGATCCAAAGCCTGCTCATCATTTTCTCTCTTGAGAAGAGTTCGTATTTTGCTCATTCAGCCTCATTTAAAGAAAAAATTGGAACCTATCTGTGTGTATTGTTGCTCTCTGGTTCAATGAACGGACAAAGAAAAAATGTTTCCAAGTAGCCCAGGGATCATTCTTGTTGTGTTAATGTAAAATGGAATGAATTTGAACAAGTCGTTTGTGAAAAAAAATTAAACTCAGACTATTATTTGGTATCCAAAACTTGATATTATATTGTATTATTATCCCATCATTACTATGTTAATAAGCTATTGTGTTGGTAACAAGACAGTGTTGTGCTTTCCAACTGTGGGCTCCAAGTTTTTACAGACGAAATCAATTGAAAAAGGGCATCGTCTCAAGAATACTTGTTCACACAGCCTCATAGAATAATGGAGAGTACCTTAACGTTTCAAAGAATGATGTTTTTCAATCTCATAATGTGCCTCGTAACGTTTCTGATGCCGAGATTTACAATCGAAATTAAAGCTCTGAGGGCGACACACCACTACCATACCACATTGAGGCATCCGATATATGGACAGTGATAGAACTAAATGTCCATTTGTGCCTCCACCGACGAGGTCCTATTTAGTAAATCATTTCTGGCGGTATTTAAAAACACAGTCCTCTGTTTCTTACGAGCACGAATTCGGGAAAATGAAAACACTTTTTATACTGGTGTTAGTTATTATGACATTTTCAGCTACCATGAAAACTTCCTAATCCACAAGCTACCCAGAGCCAAAAGGCTGAATTCAATCTAGAACGCTCTGAACACTACAACGTTGTTTTCAGAAGGCCTAAGCACGATTTCAGCGAAGCCTACCATAATGACCACAATTATTTCGTTGTTCCAACCCAGTAAAGGAGTAACATTGCGATATCAACCAACTATGCAGAGTAAAACGATGTGGAACAATACGCAGAACCAGCTTTATATAATCCCAAGGTGACCGAATGATCATTCCACTCTCTTTCACCAGCCAGAATTCAAGTAGTTATTACGAGTGATCAAAAGTCAAAGAGACTCCAAACTTCTGTACAACATGCGATATTGACTAGGGCAGTGACCAGAAACTCAGAGTCAGGACATTTGATCACTCATGATTGTGGATACGTTTGCTGGCAATGCAAAATGAGTCTCCAGTTTACAATCTTATTTCACGAAATTAGCTCTAGCAACCATCGTTGAATGAAAGTGTGACGTGTGTCTAAACCGGCTGTATTACTTTGACACTTCGAGTGGATTTCCCAGTAAGAGGATGGCGTTCAACTCTCCCTCATGTTTCGTGGGATAAGCGTTGCTGATGCGTTCAAAAAAGGTTATGGTATATGAAATGTACTTCTGAGGGTTGGGGTGACTACGCGCGGTAGCGCGAAATCCAAGACTACAACTTTGGAAGATCCTGGTGGTTCGCGATGCGAGACATCTGACTGAACTGACTGTTGTTAATACGGATGACTCCGACCATAAATGAACAATGAATGGTCCCTCTACCTAGATTAGAATTAAAGCACACGAAACAAGCTGCTAGAACCATACTGTTTGGATTGTAATACATTTGAGGGCATGTTGCCAGGTTGTCGAGAGAGATTAAATCACCCATGGAACTCAGCAAATATAAACAAGCTCAGCTGATTTTCGTATGATGCACATCTTCACCGGCAGTCTTCAGTTATTGGAAATATTGTTGCCATCGTTTTATACTGAGTTCAACATAGATCAGTGGTTAGGACGCGCACTTACCGACCGGAAGGTCCATGATTCAAACCCGACTCTACTTCTCGACTGCTTCCGCTTAGGCTTCGGAAAGTTCGCAGTATTTCAGTCCTCTCACACACTTCCAGTGACATGAGAGATAGGTACCGAAAAGGGTTCACAGCTGCAAGATTATCTATTTTTCACTTTCTATTTACAGCAGGACAAAATGCAGCTGCAACTGCAAGCATAAGCACACCCAACATTCAGCTTTACGCTTAGAGCAGAGAGAGGCGCATCGATTTTTTTGGACACGTGACAGTTTGCCGCAAAGTTTATGGCATAGGATTACCATCCTCCGCAGAAACACTTAATGAGTACTTGCCTATTCTGTTACAGAACATTTCCGCCATCACAGCAAACCGAGCTTTTGAGCTGTCTATGAAGGGCATGGAAGCAGAATATTCGGTTCATGTAAGTATATTCAAAGAGCATTTCTTTTATTCGCGACGATCTATGGTCATCCCATTTTGGCATTTAAAGCTAAGTTGCGTCGTAACTAAAGACTGCCCGCGAATTGTCAAATGAGCCATGGATAAACTATTTTTCTTAGATGTGGAATTAAACTTTTATTACTAATATTGCTTGTGATTGCCCTTTTTCTGATAAGTGCTCCGACAAACTGTGCTTCTTTCTTTCTTTCTTTCTTTCCTTCCTTCCTTCCTTCCTTCCTCCCTGCCGGCCTGCCTGCCTGCCTGCCTGCCTGCCTGCCTGCCTGCCTGCATGCCTGCCTGCATGCCTGCCTGCCTGCTTGCCTGCCTGCCTGCCTGCCTGCCCGCTTGCCTGCCTGCCTGCCTGCCTGCCTGCCTGCCTGCCTGCCTGCCTGCCTGCCTGCCTGCCTGCCTGCCTGCCTGCCTGCCTGCCTGCCTGCCTGCCTGCCTGCCTGCCTGCCTGCCTGCCTGCCTGCCTGCCTGCCTGCCTGCCTGCCTGCCTGCCTGCCTGCCTGCCTGCCTGCCTGCCTGCCTGCCTGCCTGCCTGCCTGCCTGCCTGCCTGCCTGCCTGCCTGCCTGCCTGCCTGCCTGCCTGCCTGCCTGCCTGCCTGCCTGCCTGCCTGCCTGCCTGCCTGCCTGCCTGCCTGCCTGCCTGCCTGCCTGCCTGCCTGCCTGCCTGCCTGCCTGCCTGCCTGCCTGCCTGCCTGCCTGCCTGCCTGCCTGCCTGCCTGCCTGCCTGCCTGCCTGCCTGCCTGCCTGCCTGCCTGCCTGCCTGCCTGCCTGCCTGCCTGCCTGCCTGCCTGCCTGCCTGCCTGCCTGCCTGCCTGCCTGCCTGCCTGCCTGCCTGCCTGCCTGCCTGCCTGCCTGCCTGCCTGCCTGCCTGCCTGCCTGCCTGCCTGCCTGCCTGCCTGCCTGCCTGCCTGCCTGCCTGCGTTATTCCTCCTCTTTCACTTCACAATTTACTCTCCTCTATTGTGCACTAAAAGGGTTTCCATTTCGATTCTCCTATACTGAACAGGATATGTGTGAAGAAGTCGACATCAACTGGGATAACATACAAAAGTATGCAGGAATAGCGAATGTTCACCTAAAACATGCGGCCGATTATCATCGGGTAAGTCGTTGTGCATTTCCAGAACTGAAAAACAAAATCAATTATCCAGGTTATAAGGTGATAGGCCCAAAAGCTTTTTAACTAATCTCGAGTGATTCCCACACCGATCAGCATAGTCATTACTGGCCCCGGTCTGTATAAAATTTGCTACCAAAACCGATGTTTTTGATGTGTGCTTCAAGAAAATATACTGGGACCCACTTCCAAAAACCCCCGGCCCAAAAAGTTAGTAGGCACGGTCAACAATGGCCCCTGCACCTCACTAACCATGTGCTCTGTTTGAAAACAGTCATCTGCTGGACAAGCCACGACAGATTTCCAGATGTCTTCCAAATAGAATTGTCTGCCTAATGTCTCGCGCAGACATGTACATTATGGACAGTAAAGTGGGTTCATGATTTAAACCTGCAGAAAAGGAAAATACAGTAAAATGTATTAAAAGCACACACCCCAAATCATGACGAAACACTTCTAAGCACAAGTTCTAATAAGAACGTCCCTCCAGGGGACGTGTTAATTATTCACCTGGAATAACTATTTTATGGGATCTGAAAGAGCTTTGGTCAGCACCTGTAGCGAAAGTGTGTTTTTTCCACCTCGCTTGCTGGAAATAGTTTCACTCATGTTCCTGTTTCCTGTGTTTTGGATTGAATTGTTATGTCTGGCACGCAAAACCGACGTAGTGAAAGCTGGACATTCATTAATTCATAACGTGAAACTAAAAATCACATAAACTCGACTTGTACCTGTACCCCACCAGACAGTAACTCGATGAAATCACAAAAGCTTATGCAGGAACTGATGGCGGTGACAGATATGACGAAAGGCTCTACACAATTTGCTATATTCAATAGACTGCACTAGACTGATCCTTCCATAATTCGATGAAGCAAATCGAGAATTCGTTAGATTTTGGTCAACGAATTTTAGTCCTGATTACTTCCAACAACGTTCGCTCTAAATGCCTTATCAAAAACTGGATAATCTCATGTTGCCCCCGTTACGCATAAGCTTAGTAGTGTAGAATACAATAACTACCTTGTAATTTACATATCTGTGTTGACTCGTGCTGTCCACAAGCGCCTGTAGTTTTGAGCTAAATTTCGTGTCCTGTCGGCCATATGGACATCTAGATGTGCGCGATCACTCAATTGGAACACTTGAAACTATAGATCGTCCGATTGGAATGTTTCGTCAATTATTTAAATACGTACGCAGTGGGCATTAATTCATTAGTTTGCTTGTTCAAGCTAAGGGGTTCCGTGTCGCATCCTTAAACTGATCAGATGACTTTTCTACTTCTAGTGTCTTTTTCGTGCGAGCTGCCACAAGGGGTACGAGTTAGCTTCGCGCCAACCACAGATACATTCGTCGCGCATCCGTCATCCATCTAATTGTACAATCGAATTAGTGGCTAGGGCCGTGAAGCGTTCTCCAAGCACACCGAGCTGTTTCGTGATATAAACAGTCCATGCTACAATAGGCCTTTTACGATTAATCAGCCTTCTCTCTAGACTGGTGAAGAGATGAACCCGAAATGGTTTGTCAGTATATTCTACTGAATCGTTGTTTATTTGGGCCGATAAGTGATGGTCAGGTTACTGATAGTTGACCAGATGGCTGTTGGTCATTCCTGGACAATGCAACTGGCTGGCAAACATTTATCGCCACTCGAGTGTATATCATCAGTGCGTACGACGATTATTAACGACGGGCCGATTGCCAGGCTCGTCGAACAGATCCAAAGGCACCGGATCAACTAACGGGAAGTGCACCGGGGTTTCCAGTATTCCGGTACTAATACGAAGGTCATGTACTCTAGAGCCACATAGTATTCTGCTTTCGCGTTGTACAAATCCTTAATCTCTTAGGTGACGAAATTTCAGACTGAGAGAAGTAGGGATGTCGAATAGATTTGACACCAATCTCATCCACGTTATAACCTGAAGTCGAAACAGCTTGAGGAAAACAGCGCCAATATCTGTGATCTCAAAGCAAGGGATTGGTAATGTTCAACAACAAACCCAGAAGTGAATTTGAATGAATCGAGTCATGAAAACAGTTAATATAGAGTAGGATTTGTATAAAATAAAATAGTTCAACACTGAAACTTGAGCAGTCACTGGAAGGGCAATGAATTAATCTGCGGAACAGGGAAACATAAATAATTATGTCACGTGATTAACATTATTGTTGGTGCATGTAAAGTGTCTCAGTTACCTAGAAGATTTTCTTCTCATTTTGAGTATTACGGAAAGACCGAGGAGATTCGCCAATGTCCGAGTTCTATTTCCACCCCGTTCAGTGAACACTGAACCCGCGTGGTCACCTGGGCTTGGCCAACCAATAGTCTGCCCAAATGAAATTTGAGGCATCTTCAGGACTGCATATTTGGTTGAAGAATATTGAAAAAAGCAGATTTTTTATCAGGCGATTGGCATGCAATATAAATTTCCCCTTATTATTGGCACAGGTTGTTTTCCACAAGCTCATCTTCTAGGGAAAAACTTACTTGTTTTACCGACAAGCATACAATTTTGAGCTAGTTTCTAAAATAGAATCGATTAGGGCGACGCTACTGGACAGCTAAATTAAAAAGGGATAAGTCGGATTGTGGACGTCACTTTGATTTCTGAGCTCCGAAGGGATTACATGAGTAACTGAACAGATTGATATGGCCTATCAGTGACTGCATTGCCGTTGTTTTTCAACTTGGAATGAGTCCAAACATAAGCTCCTGAGATAGTTAAGGGAAAAGTGCTGCGAGGTGATCGTTTCGTGGACGCGTTAATTTCTCGCTGTATCGCAAATATGTCACGAATACCAGTTGGTGTCGGATTCATCATTTTAATCCGACGCTCCACGTTTGATAATAGTCAAGGCGAGTTCACCGAAAGTTTAAGGTCATTTTAGCTGCCGATACGGACCGGAAGCAACCCGATTGTTAGCCTGATACATGTAACGTGGTACCTAAGGTAGTCCATCCTACCGACTCTCTATGAGTCGTGAAATGTTTGGCATATACTGTGCTTACTTGACTGCTACAACCCAGTTATTTCGCCTAGGCAGCTGGAAAGCAAATGGGCATTTTATCTGTAGCCGCCCAGTGAGCTCCGGAAGCGATCTAATCAAAATAAATCGGATGACCATCTGGTTAACCAAATACTTTGCGTTACCTAACGTTACATTCAAACACAGGTTCACCCCATTTCAACTATTTTTTCCTTTCATTCCCAGTTCTACTATCGAACGAAGCAGTTGAACGTTAAAATTCAACAGACCCGTGAAGAGGTGTACAACGTATTTCGTATGCAAAACTGGGAACATTGTGATGGAGTTCCCAGTGAGGCCTCTAGATTGAAAAATATTCTCAAGGTGGGTACCTTACACTCCTTTTTCCACAATTCCATTGTTTAGCAATCGTTTGCAGTCCTCCTTGAAAAGTTGACTACAGAGTGTTGCTATATGTCCCAAGCAATCCTTTTGAACAACCTCAAAAGCACTGAGCACCGACTAGTTCTATCCTTGTACCCAACAAATTTCCTTTAGATTTCTGCTTATCCACGGCATGTATAATATACTGGTAAAAACAAGGTCACGTCAGCAACTCTATAGTTTGGGATATTATAGATCCATAAAACTGATTTTTTGTGATTTTGGCTAATTTAAAGTGATCGCCAAACGAACAAGGAAGCTTGCATCATGCGTCACAGTAACACCACTGTTGTGCTCAGTATAAATGAGGGTTGTGGGAAAGGCTGGGTGCTGAAGTCTGCTCTGCAGCAATTACCCATGTGTGGCTGGAATGCCAACCAGCTTTCACAAACGAATGCATGCACCACTCCGCACCAGTTCACACAGTTGTCCTTTCTTTCGGAAAACGTCTTGGATAGCGAAAAATCCTTTTGAAGCTTAATCCCATCCGCGGCCTCAATGTTTTTATTCTCCATTCTAACTACTCGCATCAGATAGAGTAGCCTTTGAAGGCCTGGCATATTTCCTACTGAGTTATGAATGAGCGCGTGCTGACTCAAGCTAGGCAGTGAGACAAGTACTTGTATGGATAATTTCTGCGTGCAGAAGAACATTCATGCAAGTTATTTGACGAACGAAGCGTTGATTTCATCAGTCCTAGTGGTGTCGCGTCTATTGGCCCAATCGAACTTCTTGTCTACATGGACATTTCGAACACAAATTTCATCGGAGCCATGAGGGTTATGTAAACGAGGTAAATAAGTGCTTTCGAGTGTTGCAATAAATATATACGCCTTCCGTGACGGTGTCCACAGTTTTTTTCTGCAGCGGAAAAACTGCCCAGGCAAATGTCTTAATACCACCCAAATTGCTCCCAGAAAGTTCCACGATATCATTACCAGTTCAATTTTAGTTCATTTGTTGGACATGGGGTACCTAAGAGTGTGCGATAACTCGAATACTTATTTGCGAAGTACCACTAATTTTAATTAAAGTCCACCATACTGAAGTTTGTGATAACCACAGAAGCAATTAGCATTCTTCATCTGAAGTGCAATTGATTCGTTTTTGTGACGTTTATATAATCAGCCAGCTAGGTGTCGGGACCACGCGAATCCCATATCCGCCGTTATTCGCAAACCATTCATAAGTTGAGTTTTGACATCTGTGTTTCATTCCAACCACTACAGTCTTATCTATTTTATCACTTCCTTTACATATGTTTGGGTCGGACGAAATCATATCAGAAAGGCATCATCCGCCCCACCCATGTTTTTTCCTATTTTTAGAAATCCTTGGATGAATTTGAATATTATGCGCGCGAGGCAGAGAGTCTAGCAGCCCAAGCACATACGATTGTGCCAATTTATATGCGCAGTCAACCTCTGCTGACAGAAGTCGAAGGTGTGATGCTGTGTGACTATGACGTGGGCGAATTCAGTTTTCTCACTGGTGACCGTGTTGTGATTATGAGTAATGTAGAACAACCCAGCGTACAAAACCTTCAGGTCTCATCTTGCTCATCCGATCTACAGAGGACCATCAACAGCGAAGAAGAAGCTGGAGGAGAAGTACGGGAAGACCACAAACATGAAGGAGGACCAAACTCCCTAGAAAACTCGACAGAAACAATTGAAATTCTTGATGTTCAAGACGGTCCATTCCCATACTTTCATAGATATCAAATGTTAGATACTCCTAGTCTGCAGTCGGGTACAAACGGAAGCGCACTCACTGTCAGCCCATTCTGGCGCATTCGCGGCATTAATAACACGGTGGAAGCTCTGGTGCCTGCTGTTTGTGTATGGATAACGACACCCGATACGGACTCAACGGTGACAGCCGCCAGGTAAGTACTTATGCTGTTACTGGGTAAATCGACAATAAAAGGGTTGGAGAGTAAGCGTATCTAAAAACTGCTGTGGCAAAGCTGATCGCGAAGCAAACCAATCTCTTATTCGCATGGAGCACCACATTCAACAAATGAGACCCATCGATATCAAAAATAGGCTACAGGGGCTTATTTTCACTGAAATTTCTCCCAGAAACCTCTAGAACCAAGAGGATAAAATAACGCGGATCATATGTGCTACCTGAGTTCACCGTTTCTGGTGCAGAAGTCTGCCAGAAACGCCCGTGTTTCTTGCACATGTGTGGAAAAAACAGTGATGGGTCTCTCCTTTTTCGGATTCCGAACCAACTCGTGACTGGAAAAGATGCGAAAAGTCTAATGCAACGGAAAGTACACCGTAAAGGCCGTTAGATGCTATAAGGGTACTAAAAACTTGTGGCAGTTGCGCGGAGATGAATACTACAGTGCAGCGCTGTTATAGGGTAGCTTGATAATTGTGCAATTTGTTCTAAAAAAAACCTGGATGTACGATTTATTGGACGCAGTAGCTTATCAGATAAGCGGTCTGCACTCATCGACGATGACGAAGTGAGACAGCGAATACCCGTTGTTGCTGATATTGTATGTTGGATATATGGCAATTATTTTCCAGGATGGTGCCAACAGACATCGGATCACTCGTGATTTTGAGTTCATCTCGCTGGTAATGTTATCGACCGCTTCCGTTCAGATTTGATCCGGTGCATGTATGACAGGTACTTCTGTCCAGAGGCTGGTGGTTTATTTGCTAGGCAGCGTTTTTTTCACATTGTTCCCGATGGTAGATGTTTCCCACAGCAGTACTGTTGAATAGTCAAAGCTGAATGTTCTCCACTTTTTCCGGATTTTGTTGGTGGTGGTATTGGGGAAGTACAGAATCCGTTGGATGGATATGCTTTAAGACCGACTCCATAACTCCCATTGACTTCCGATACCAAAGCGGATATTGAACATCCACTGAAAGTAGATCCGGTGAAAGGCCTTTTGGTGAATACCTAATTGTGCGTTGACCAACGACTTTAGCAGCAGATACTGTTAGCGGTCAGAAAATAGGGTTTACAAAGACGCAACACAAATCTGAACTAATGAGTCTTTGGACGTCGTTAGACTGAGCCTGCATCGAAGGACAACCTCATAAAAACCTCAAAGAGCAGCACGTAACGTAGATACCACAGTCTAATGTGACAAGATATCTGCAAGTCAGTTGCCAAGCTCGGCGAACAGATTGACGGTCACTTGATCACTTGCCAATTAACGCACCCGAGCACCCGGTATTCCCACACAGGTGAATTTTCTACTCGGTCAAAATTTCATGTGATGACATCAAAGTTTTCGGAATTTAGTCATAACCTAAGAATTAATGTAGGGATGAAACGTCGCTGTGTGCTGCCTATCCAAAGGCCCATTATCGTGCGGACTGGGGAACGTCCTTCTTACACTCAAGGCTGGTCATGAGATTTTTTCTACAATTCTGCGACGAAATTTTTCTGTCTCACGACCAGGTGGATCGGATTGATTAAAATTCCTCATTCATGCGGATATTTCATTACTGGATTGAGGGTGAGCAAAACATTTTCAAAAGCAAAAGTGTAGTGTACAGCTGATCCATGATGCAACTTCTAAGGGGGCTAGCAGCAGTGAGAACGCACTCAAACCACTCTAACAATAAGAATGGGTTAACCCTTCACGCACAGTGATTCCATTGTGTCCAAAAGGGAAGTACTTCTTTCATAGGCATGAACGTCAATTCATTTCTGCTGTGTGAACAGACCAGCGAGATACTTATCCAGTATTCAACTGTTGTATCGTGGGTAACCATCTATTGGTTACGCCTGCACTGAGCCTGCCAGACTGCGCGATAGGGAGAAGACAGAGGACTCTGGACACGACTGTATTGTCGGGACAATACATACAGAGCTTCTGCGCAAATACATGGGATGACTAAACGGCCAAATATGGTCGTTCGTTCGGTCTTTCTGTACAGCCAATGGGGGTGTTCCGGTCGTGAGCAATTTCAGACCCACTCCGCTGGTCGTATGTTGTGTTTGGTGTGCTCCGCCAACGCACCTGCTTTCCGGACGTGTCGTACCAATGGTGACTTTGGGGATGTGTCACTCTCTACACATGTACTTTTTCCATGTCTGGGCGTGTCCTGACATCAACTGATCTGTCCTCTGATTTTTTGTCAACACTTGACCCAGTTGGAACGTGCTTACGTGCCATCTACCCCGAGTTATCCTCCCAGCAAACTTCATGACCAGCGCTCGTACACCCGTCTTGATTTCGGTACCGCTGCTTTCCCTAATCTAATGCGAGTACCCTGGGTGGTGCACATTTGGGGAGGAAATTTCATGATGCTTGTGGTTGGAGTGTGAGAGAATGACACAAAGATAATGCACCGAAGTTTCGGTCTCTGTGGGTAATGTCATTACGGATAGGAACTATCGAAAGTCTAAGACCTACGGTTTATTTCTCATGATGCGAATCAACAAATATAGGATGCGTGAGGGTAACGCCTTTAAATTTTTGATGATTCACGCCGTTGCATCTGAACTGATATAGTTTAGGTGTATCAGTTAACTGGAGCGTCCTACTCCTTCACATGAGGGAATTTAACCACAGGAATCCATGTACCATTAATTTTTCTGCCTACCGTCTTCGGTTTTTGGCTTTCGTATTCTTCGCATGTTTAGTGACCGACGTTGAAACAAGTTGCTTGTGGCATTTGCTCATTATACGTTGAATGGTCTTTGAGTCGGAAGTCTAACGGGAAACTTTGATCAATATCATCCATCTCATATGTGAGAGATGGCTTTTTCCTACCTAACGAAAAGTCTGTAGCTGTCACCAGCTCACTAGAAACGCTCAACTTCACTCATTTTAGTAAACTAAACTAACATCTGATGAATTTTCATCTCATTTAAACGTGTGCATGTGAATTAAGGTGCCCCTTTCTGAGAGAGGCAACAATATGAAGTATTTGCTACGTCTTCTGCACCTAGCTAACGATTAAATCCTTGTCATTGAGTAGTTTCAGCAAAAAACGGCAGGGTACGGTGAAATTAGTCACTTCAACCTTGACGATGTGGAAATGGGACACATCGGTGCAACTGCATGATATCATTTAGGCCTGTCCCCTCAACCTAGAGATCAATTTTTGTCTTGGTTAACCTGACTCTTAAAAAAATCAAAGGTGGAAATAAATGTTGTGGACATACGCTTGAAGAATACGATAAAAAGACAAATATTTGAAACCGTAAAACTAGCGAGCTGTCTTGCGTTCGTCTGTTTAAATATGCAGCTTATGCGGCGTTACTACGAATTGTAGCTGTTGCAAGTTAGGAGGTGGTTCTTTTTTAAATTAATACCAAACTGAATCGAGCCACATCCAAAATTGGTGCTAGGGTAGCTTGATATTGTAGGAAGTGCTGCAGGCATGGGCTGGTTTTGTATAAAAATCGACTATGTTATCCAAACGAATGGAGAGGCGCATTGCTATTGTGACTATATCCCCTGGGAAGTAACCCCGTCAAAACTGGAACAAGTGGTTCACGTACCCCTAGGGCATAAAGGACTACTGGAGACATGTAGTGCACTTGCCGCATCTTTTGCAGTAGGCTCATACCTTTCATCGATTGGTTTGGTGGCTGTAAGTATTCTGAGATGGCATAATTAACAAATACATTTCTGTTTGTACATAATACCACCAGAATATCACGTGTTCCCCAACCCTCATTCATCTTGATCTGCATGGATAGGGGTTCGACAGTGCAGTCTTTCTCAGTACGTCCACGTATTTCAACAACCGCCCTTTGGATGATACCAAATTCACGCCTGAACGAGACTTTCCCCTCAATGGAATAGAATCGAAAGAGAACTATCGTCAAGACCTTCTGAAATCGTCTATAGAAAATGCAGTTTTTGGCGAATATTTTCAACGGCATTCTCACACTGTTCAGTGAAATAGATAGAAATTCACTCTGTAGGGTCTTTTTGGCAGAACCTAGTCCTCGTGCCTTTCTTCTTTGTCATGTGGATCCGTTAGTATTCGTCATATACGTCATATATCAAGCGTATCTCGAGGCCCTACCTCCTCTTATTCCTTAGGTGACAGGAAGACCTTCATATTTTGCAGGAGCAAACTGTGTGATAGCAAACCTATCAGGCAAACCCAACGTAGCGTAACTGTGCCAACACGCCTGAATGTACTCCTAAGCTTGAGCTATCTGTCCGTTGCGTTGATGGAACCTCAGTGGCATTTGTACGGATGCTGCAAAACGAACAAAAAGAAACTACCATTATTCAGTCACTTCAGTTCTACCAAACACCCCATATGTGTGACATGTGGAGCATGTATATATGAAGAAACATGTGTAGCACGTATAACATGTGTCCTATTCATGATTCACTAAGCTGTGGCGGACTGACAGACTAAACAATTTCGCAATGCTGTTGTGAACGAAGCTGAATCTAAACTATCGACGTTTAACTATCGCAGTAACAACAGTGGGGATCAAATGTGCAAGGATTCTAGTAAGCTGCCAATCCGAGTAATTAGCCCATTATCCTACAAACCGCAGTTACTGTAATGTGCTGTTGCAGCAACATGACAACCTCGGATGAGATTTGTGTGTTTGTCTCGGATACCATCAGGTGACCAATACTGGTGTGCTGCCTTTATGGGTTACGCCATCAGTAGCACAATTGGCCGGCAACCAGTTACTTGATCTAACAGGTATAGTCACAAGAAAAACATGCGCACTCATATCACGAAGTTTAGCTAACTCGCTCAAATCAGTATTTTACCTAAACAATATTCAAGGCGAGTTACTCTGAAGGCCATTGTTTGGTGATGAAACTAGCAGTTCAGTCCAAAGATCCACAGGCCAGCGTCTCGCTGTCTGGTAGAATCGCATGGAGGTGTGATCCGAGCGGTTGAGCGGATGTGACCAGCCTACCGAGTCGATCCGTATGGACGGTCGCAGATGTGGAACCCAGTGAATCTTGGTGGTTCAGCTTGAAAGTTGACCCCTCACACTTGCATGTACCTTCGGCTAAACCCACTCGCACAATTTACACGCAGGGCAGTGTTTAATAACACGATCGCTTTGACCAAGCTAGAAATGTAGCAATAAGCCAAGGGCAAGTAGTTTTATTAGTTCCAAATGACTCGACTGAACTGGATTCATGGGTTGATTATCACCTATCGAACTCTTAATGTGGTTGTTGTGCACAGGTGAATGGACAGCACTTACAGGTGTTAACGACGACACTAGCTGGCCGCTGTTGACTCTACGCGGATCACACGTCATGCATACATTGATAGTCGTATGAACGCATTCATTCCGACCTAGCTGCAGAAAATATTGGCAATGAATAACTTTAGTCTCCGCCCTGAAGTAAGAATGGTGTATATCTTGCATATTATGTTCCGTTTTATGCATATAAGCCGTCCGTCCTTCAAAAGCGGAGAGGGATCGATCGAATCTCCTTCTTCCAGCTTAGCAAAAAAGTGTCTTCTTACGAATCCTGATAGTGGATAAAACCTATGTACGCTATGTTCAAGACGGAGAGCGGTAGCCACACTGAAAAGGTTTCTGCTGGGATTCGTACCGAAGCCGTCAGGACGGAAGTCAACAGTGTTTATCACTAGGCTAAGTGGGCGATATGATGAAAAGTAATCCAAAAGCACATGGGTGGAACTTATTCCAGATGACATGCCAACCGACAATATGGGTAAGACATCCCTCTTCCTCGTCTTTACTGTTTAGGAAGAAAGCATGGATTAGGCTAGGTGACCTCTGGACCTTCAAACTTTCGATAGAAGAGTACACTGGGAAGAAACATGGCAGGTTGCCTGCCTGTGACCGTGAAACACTTCGCCTACTTTGAAAGTGTTGTGGGCTCCTGTCCTCAAGCAGCGTGCAGGTCACCTAATGGATGAGGTGACCCATTCCAGTCTTGTAACACTCTTGTCTCGTTTCACCATAGACGCTGATTTCAAAAAGTCGTCAAAATTGAACAATGACAGTATTGTAGGGATTTCATTCGATTGATCCAAAACGGCCGCATAAATTATCCCGAATTCGGTGACAGGTGCCCCAGTTAGGTTGCTCTAACAAGCTAACTGATCAGATGAACAGTCCAAGCATGCGCAGTATTAACCTACTACAAGCCATTCAATGAGAGATCGAATGCTGCGAGGCACCCTGGCTAGGGTAGAGAAAACCAAGAAAGATACTGCCATTCCTACTGTTGTCCAAGAAGCCTAAACAGGCTCGAAAAATTCGAGTGGCGGCCACCTAGTGACGAAGTCTTGAATACGAACGCCTCGACTGCACAACGCAACAGTAGAAATGTCAACTACCTGGCTGGAGAACAAGTGACAACTCTCAGTGGCGGTCTGGGACACATATTGTTTGTAATATTAACTAGCCCATGTCCCCAAAATGGTCAACCTACAATGAATAGCCCCGCTCCCCATCTTCCATCTCTGTATCCCTAGTCAGTATTATCTTCATCTTTGCTCATATTTTGGTTTTCGCTTCTACGTTAACTTTATCCATAGTAGACAATTACATGACAACGAAAAAAGCCACTCAAAAGAACAGAGCGATAAAACGAAGACTGATAGTGATGAGATGGATTGACTGCGAACTCATCTAGCCTGTGAGACACTGTAATCACCTTTTGCCGAATCTGTCGTCAATAAATATTGTTGTGGGGACAATTGGGTAAATGATTTGGCAGCAGCGTTTCTGATTGTGGTCACTTCCGGAACACAAACATAAACTCAGGTAGTTGTGATCATCACGAATTAGCCCTTTCGTTCGACCAAGACTGATAAACTATGGAATTGTTGACATTTCCGCCATAGGTCGAGCAAACTGTATTGCACTTTGGATAAACTCAGGTTGTCACGTCGAGCTGGCCGTGCATACAGGTATTTTGTAGCGCACAATTGGGTCACATCCAGAAGAATACCAGTTGATATCGATTATGGCTTGAAAGTGATGTCCTGGCTGCCAAAGATGTAGAACAACTCAAAGTCAAGAAACCGGTGGAGACTGATTCTGTACAAAATTATATAGCGGTGATTTCGGACATGGGATTTTGGAACAGAAATTGGGATCTCGTGACTAAGCAGAAGGACTACCGATAAAGAGCACGCGTAAATTTCACGTATTCAACTTCAATGTTTAGACAACTATTCCAGAACGATTGGCAGCATACGTAAATGAAGCTAGTAAGGCCTGCACGTAAATCAACTGAGCTTGTAGAGGTGAACATCTTTTGAAAAAAGGGCACGTGCAGTATGGAAAGTATGCGGGACACAATCATGCCGCAGCAGCCAAGTAGATCTAACTTTCATGAATTCGACAGAAATGGTAGGTCTATTGAACTCGGGCCTTTGACAAAACCATTTGCCTACGAAAAAGTTTAGTTCCTGCGAGAACCCGATTTTGAGTTTTGTAATTTAAATTTGTTAGCCCAAAGAAAGCATATCAAGTCTTCGGTGAACAGACCGGTTTTTGAGGCACCATTACCCCATATTCGGGAAAAAACAGGGTCAGACCATCTGGTCAACACGTTCAAATTGGTTCTACTTCACTTTCCTGCTTTTATGGATACATTCATACTTTAGACGTACTTGCGAAGGTGAGATCGGTTGAATCTGACCGGAAAATTTTGGTTCCATCCACAAGCTACAACAAAACACACTATCGAGAATCATTGCAACCCCGTTATTGTGTTGTTGACTGTTCTGTACTCGTATAGAAAAGGTTTACGGGAAGCTTAAGCAACCCACCCCAACTCCGATTTTTGTACAGGTTGAAGGAAGAACTCTTAATCAAATGGAGCAGTGCAATCGATGAACTATTGCAAGTTGTTTGCGATTTCATCAAGCAATTTCTCATCCGGATCATCGATAAAGGGGTGAGTCAAAATCTTAAATGCCTGCAATAGATTGTTGTTCGCTAAACGATGGGAGTGCAACCACCCGTAATGAGTACATATACTTCTATTTATGATACTTGTTCAAAGAGGAGAGCCCTTCGCTCTGAAGTTGTTTATTAGCAAACACGAACTAAACAGTCACACCTCACCTACACCAAGTTTTTGAGAAGTGAACATGCGTCCTCTTGGACCCTCATGGGCATTCGTTGACTGTTGAACAGTAGTAAACGAACACTGCAAGAATGTTCCTCGATTTCCGTAAAGATCATCTTTCATCAGATGTGGAGTCGGAGCTCGGACATCAGACCATAGGCTACTCGCATACTTCATCAGTAGTAAACACCGCTAAACACCTCTCCACTTCAAAGGTCGCATGCATACCACCGATGTTCGATTTGACCCAGTTAGTTGGTCTCAGCAGCTGGTCTATTCTGCACCTCTTCCGGTGTATGATACCACTTTGGAAGCCATGCAGCGTTTACTCTTTACGGCTATAGACCTCCCTGAATTGTATAGACTTTATATTGACGGTGAGTAACAACGAACAGGCCTTGCCGCCGACTACCAAACTTCCCCGACCCCAGTTCACTCCTCTCAGCATTCTATTAATTTTTCTATTTGAACTTCACGCTTATGGAGCATGGTCGTGTCTTTCTGCCTCCCGTTTTCTGCCTAGACCTTTCCTGAACGTCGTCCAAGCTCCCTCGAGCTCTTCACCTTTCTTCTCCTACCTTCTTCAGAGACAAGAATGTTGACAGCCAGAAACCGATTCTCTGATCAACTGGAAGGCGTATATATCGACCGCACATCAACATGAATTGGGACTCTCCTGTGGTTGTATGGGTTGATGCACGACATGCTAACAGCATCGGGAGATTCATATCCCAGTCGCCTCATTAGGCCGCGAGTCTCTCCTTAGTCGTTCGGATGGTGCATGCGGTTCGGCCGTTTGTTTGCGGGTTAGGGTGTCGTCTTTAGTGACTTGATTTACATCTGCTGCAAGCAACTCCTGAACTCTTGACTCTCAAAGCACGGCTCCTGACCAGTAGGGATAATTTTTGGTACCCCTGTTCCGCCACGGTAGACTGGTGGAAATCGGCTCATCTAACACTTTTCGTTTGTCAGCACATGCTCCACCAGGCTGCAGCTTCAAAACAGAGGCAGTTTGTACTGGAACCAGTAACTCTTAATGCGGTCGGGAAAAGTGTATGATAACCTTGTTCTTGTGAAGAGTTTCAATGCTCAAGTCAGTTGATAGACGAAAGGGAAATACATCTAGTAGATCAGTTTAGTTTCGATATTCACTGCAAAGTTTTGAAAAGTCTTACAGGGATATGCTGAGAATCGTCTGTTCCTTGCAAAAAAGAGCCTTTCAACAAAAGCGCTCCCATCAGAACACTGGAAGTCAGAATAATCGTAAATCAGTTGCATATTCAGTCGGACCACGTAGCAACTCGCTACCGGTAGGGATCGGCAGTTCAAGATTATCGCTCACTCTATGCACGTCTTTTAATTCTGATCGCGCAGTCATGTGGACAGAAAATCAATTTACTCTCCTTCTAGGTCGCACAGGCGACTAAGGGCCATTAACGTGATCCCCCAATAGGCCTTTTATAAAAAACTATCACACTACGCTGACTGGAAAGTTGTTGCTCTCAAAATGTTCATGTACATTAAGAGGGGCTCTGAATATGGTCGTCTGTCAGAGTTCTCTGACACATCCGAACAGATATTGTCATAATTAGCCATTTCTATTGAGACTATAAAGACCGTGATAGCTACAGTGAGCATAATAACGCACGCAGAACAGCGAAAGACAAATACTAGAGTCTTGATCACGACGGAGTGGTGATGAGCAAGGGCAGTCATCGATTTCAAATAAAGTAGCGGGATTTTGAAAACCCTCGTTGAAAAACATACAGAAGCATAAAACAGGCTGTCTCCACTGCAATTCTACTTTGCAAGAAATAATGAACACAAAGGTGTTATTAGGCTGGTAATTGTTGATTCTAAAATTATCTAAAGATCTTACGAGAATGGATCGCCAAGAGGATCAGGTTTATGGGAAGCAAGCTGGGTTTAGTCCGGGTTGATGATACACTCGGTGCGTCTTCAATTTACGCATTAACATCGCCATAGCTACAAAAAACTAACTGCTATCGTGCTTATTGACTTTAAGGCCATGTTGCATTCTGCTAGATACTAAAATCGCTTCGAAAATTTCTATTACTTCCAAAGAGGGATTTACGCTTACAAGTTTGTGGCTATCGCACCTAATTTTACGGGATCCAGGGTATGCAAGTGTGGCTGGTCCACTACTCTTTCTTTTTAGCTTCGTTTTCGATGTTCCATTCGAATATTCCTAATATGTCCCTCACAGTACCAGTGTGGAAACGTTCTCAGTCCTTCACTGGTGTTATACTTTTCTTGGGTCTAGTCCCTTGGAAACGCAAATCCTTCTAGCTAGTCTAACATTTTCGGTTTGACGAAACCGGAAACTCGTGCCAGCATACTGTGTGAGAGAGAGAACGTACAAAGCTAATCTACCGTCTCCGTTACACTCAAGTTCACCAACGAGACGTACCACACGCATCAGTTTATTCAAGTGTATCTTATTTTAATACTGAACAAATAAGATGCGATAAAAAAGCCCGCCAGCTGAGCCACATAAAAGGCCGAAATAATCGTGCTCATTCTTATGAAAAACAAAATAAATGTGTGTCTTGTTTCACAATCTAGAAGTAAGTTAGGCTAAAAGCAGACGACAAAATACCATAAATCAGAGCAGAAACACACCTTGATCGTTATCAGTATTAGTTTGGATTTGAACTCGCCTTGTAATTTATTGAGAAGAGAGTATCAGACTTTTGTAGACGCCAATTTTTACCAGAGAATGACACTGAACTCGTCTTTCATTAGCAAATGACGAGTGAAATTGTTGAATGAACATGCTTTGTATGACATGCTTTCGCATGCTAGTAGGCATAACTCCCTATCACCACGCAGTTGCCATCGTTGGCCGAAGTTCGCTGAACTATGAAGTCTCTGCACCATCGCTAAAAGTTTCTATGGACATTATTTTCATCTTTTATCAGAGATAGCCAACATGTTTGGCGATAAGAACAAGGACAGGTACAAAATGTAAAAACATGTGCCTAGTTCGGCCGTTTTCTCCACTGCATGCGTTTCGAACATGACAACATTTTCTACTTTTTGTGCAGGAGATAAGAGTCACAGATGGAGTTTCCTTAACTCGGCTTTTCAACTTACTCGAAGACTCGTATGACGTGTTTGATCGGGGGGAATTCAACGAAGAGATCACTAGTTTGTTAACAACCGCCCGCGCCCTCTGGAGACCTGCATTTCTGGGTAAATATTCGGTTTCTTGATTTATTTGTATTGACAAAAATGTAGATGAGCTGGATGATGCGCCATTTGCTTTGCGACGAAGTGAGATTGCCCATTACATCAGCATTATAGAGACCCTACAGGTAAGTCAACGGAAACGATATGTGTCTACCCAGCCATTTTGATACACTTTTAGTTACTGTCCGTTAATTGTAAACTCTTCCATAAGTAGGCGAGATTGTTTCTAGAAGAATCCATTTGTCGATAAGGGAGGTTACAATGTGCGTCTCTGTTATTTTATTGGGTAATAAGATGAGATTCTATCACATTAGGGGAGGATAGAGAGAACCGAAGTGGCTAGAGATAATACCAGCGAATTCTCTATACGTTGGTGAGATTCGTGATCGAGCACTAATAGAGAACACCGAATGAAGCAGAAATGTTCCTCGGCATGGATTGTTTCTTGGGATAGGTGGCCAAGTCCCAAGTTGTGGTGCGCTGGCATCATTAAGTTTTGTACTTAACCTGACGTCTCAAATGAATTTTGTAGGTCTCTCTGATGAGTGTCCCAGTTTCATATGTGATTGTGAAATTATGTGGCGTTTATCAGTATGAACATAGAACATACCGCACGACGGTCACTATATTCTCTAACAAAATAAGTGAAACTGCTAATTTTGGTGAATCGGTTGATCATACGTTGTTCCACCTTACGTTCAATGCTAATCACCCTTGATTGGCATTGCAACATGTTTCGAACGCATGACATTGTGTTGATATACTTGTAGTAGGCCCAGTTTACCAGTCATGATTTCCAGTGACCGACGAATGAGTGATGGACTGACTAGACTCATGTTCTGGTCGTAGTCAGTCAACGTCAGTGTCTAGCTCATATAATGGTCTATTGCATCTGTCCATTTGGTTTCTGTGGCCTGTTTTCGGCTCCTCCTAGTACCAGTCCACCACAGTAGAGTTTATTGCATGTGGTATACGGATGATTTCAAAAAAATCCATTCTACCCACTTCATCATCATCACCATCATAGAGAGCAATATATGCTGAGAGATTAATATATACGTGCTCTTAACTGTCATGCAGCTGCAATGGAAGTAGGCTTTAGTCAAGGGTAGAAAAGAAAATTGAAGTACGGCAGAATCTCCATGACCCTCAGTAAAACTATCAAAAACAAGGTGCCTACATCTTCGGATGACAGTGAAACAATCACATCTGATTATCATTTTGACTTGAGACACCACCAACTGGATTAATCCATAGTATTCTGGAATCTTTGCGCAGCGACAGAAAAACTCTAGCTAAGCAGTTCGGCTGAAAAAAATAAAACGATGCTCGCCAATGAGATCGGTTGTGTACTGGGTTTCCAACCACGTGCAAGCAGAGTCAAGCAGGTCCCAGCCAGGAAGGCGCGAACGTCCCACAGCGCTTAGTTTGACGAGAAACGCCCCTATTTAGCATTGACAAGTCACCACTTTTCCCTCGTGAGCCATCTGCCAATGAGGAATTGCAGTTGGAGTCAATGCTGTCGTTGGTAAGAGGCAGTTTGGCCTGCGAAATCGTCCCAACAACTCTAACCTGGTTTATTACCATGTGTTCACTTACGTGCCACCTTACAGTGACCACACTGCAGCCTGCTAACCCATCCTACACCATGAAGGCACAAGTGATCGAACGTTTGAATACGTCCGATATCCTAATAGTGGAGGGATCATGTTTCACAACCGCACACCAATACCACCCTTAGAGTTGCCTTGCACACACGGCCTTTTAGCTTCAGGGGGTTCGTTTCCAACGCCATAAATTACTCAAGTGTGCTGCTCGCGCCTTCATAACACGTGCATACACTTCCTGCACTGTACTGACGACTTATGTGCCTGTCCAGGTCAGCAAACTCATTTTCTCTCTCTCGGAGGCTTCAGGGAGACGAAAGTAAACTTGAAATTCTGGGTAAACACTCTGTGCTATGAGGGTATAAAACGCACGGCAAAACATAGAATCGCACCCGGAATTCTTTTAAAAAGTAATTTGCGCAGTACAGAATTGCTCAAAACATTATTTAACAGACTAACCCAGGTAGGTGTTTATTGACCTCCATCTCGAGTACCAGCTTGTTGCTTTTGGACTGCTTTTGTATAGGTACATATGTGTATAAACCTTACAACATCCACACTCAGAGAAAATATACATTCCTCATTCCAGGCACATATGCGTAGCTTAACAGCAATATATCCCAGATTTACAACCGAGGTGGACAGCGACTGGATGGAAAACCGAGTGATCCTAGAAACACGCCGTCTTGTTTTGGCCATCAATACCATCCAGTAAGTCGACTCAATATCAATTGTGTGGTAAGTGGCAAGGCACAATCGAATCACATATAGAGGATGATGATGATACCCGAACCCTGCTCGGACACATATCACAGCCAGAAACTGAGACCGTCTTGGCCAACAAACTCACCTGATATTTCCATCCCCCTATAAGAACAACGCGAGTCCATGGATTTTGACCACGCAAAACAGTAAGAACCCGTCTCAGGGTCACACGATCCCACTTTAACCCAAAAATAGTGTGCAGTGAAAATCTTCGTTCGAAGCCGTATTGAAATTCTCTGAAGCATAGTTACCTTTCTTAACCTCTTACGGCATTTCGGCCCTCTAAATTCTTCGAATTCCGTTTATTTCGGGTGTAGACTTTTGGTGCTATGGGTTGAAATTGCTAATTACCTTTGTCACCACTTACTTCATAAAACGGTCTGGATATTGTCAGTGGATGTGTTCGCCTGCTCAGATTTGATTCAGGTCTGTATAAATTACAGTGATGGTGAAGTGCTAACAAACTCTTCGTGACCACTTGTTCTTTTTGAAAGTCATAAAATAAAGAATTCAGACTACACGTTTTCATCTGGACTTCATGTTGATCACACCCATTCTTGTTGCAAGTTATGACTTTATCCCTTTATTCTCTTTCACCTTACCAGCCTATTTCGCACACGGCGCTATTTTCTCTGCTCGTCGTAGCTGCCCGTAAATTGTGCTGATCAAACCGGAAAACATTTCATCCTACAAAATGGAAACTTTTTATTCGAAGCACATATCACCAAACATGATTCCACCGTCTGTGTGGATTGTACGGACGTTTCAGCAATCGACCATTGGTCATGCTGGTAGGTCAGGCTAAACTCAAAAAGAAAATAATGAACGTTCAAGTGTCCATACTTCGATACCGAAGACATTGTAAATGGCCACTCAGATTCCAGTCTCAAAGAAAATCGTTTCGCAACACAATAATATTGTGAATGAAAATCGGTACTATCCTAAAAAGCGGGTGCGCGTCACTAAACTGAGTGAAACTGTGTAGCCAACGTCAATAGTAAGGCGGTGCTCAGCCCGTACAGCGGAGTTACAGTCAAACGTGCGATGACTGAGAGATTGTCAAAATATTTTTCTGAAAACACGCACGAACTGATTTTGAACGCTACTTTGCTGGACCGTGGATTTTTTAAACAGTGAAAAACATGCCTTATTCGGAGTGTCCTTATCCCAAGAGACACTTACAAAAGCACTATTAACAGATGGTTGTTCAATCAGCCTGTTCGTTTGTTCAAGGCCTCCCAAACGTTGTTTGATCTACCGGAATTAGAAGCGTCAGGGCTTTAGTCTGGCAAAAGAGCTGATCGATTAAAAACAAGCATGAGTGTGGCAGATGAAGGCTAACCAATCGACTGTTCGGATCATCTCAGTAGAGGCAAACTGATAAAAGTAATTTACAAGATGAGTCACTCATTTTGTTTCCACGCACTTGGGCAACAGTGTTTTCTTTGGGAAGCTATCCCCAAGTTTAAAAAAGCGTTACTAGAGAATTTCTTGTACACATCGAAAGGACACCTTTTTTTAGTGTGTAATGATCAACAGTTCGACGAACTCCGTGGTTATCAACAAAAAATTAGAGAGTACAGGAGATTTTCCTCCCCAGTCTCGACCAAGTTCTTAAAAAATACTGTCACTGAAAGACCGTCAGACTTCTCTAATACACAAAGTTTCGATTCATGGGACGATCCAGTGCAAGCATCAATATCATTTTGAACATCTTGGATATTCACCGTAAGAATGTAAATGAAGTTTAAGTGAATCAAATGTTTAAGGTTACCGAATGCCTAATCCATGATAACTGTTTCGATTTTTTCTCAGTGAGCTGGCCAATACAGATCTCTATCGAGTACGCCATATACACGAAGAGTTACACAAACTCAGAATGGCTCATTGGGAATACGTTCAACCTACAGCGTCTACCACCACAGAAACGGATGTTTTGGAAACCACGCCTTCGTCCACCGTCGACTCCAGCTTAAGAGATACGGAAATTAGCAGTACAGCATCGGAGAAACGGGAGTATTTATATCAAAGGCATCTTCTCATGAAAGAAACTTCCATTCAACAATCAGAGTGGGAGAAGAGGGAATATCTGAGGAAACGCCTACGAAGGAACCAGGTCGATATACAGAAGGTGATGGATATCACTGAGGCATTGAAGTCACCAAGAGAACGAATATACAGAACAACAAAAAACATCGAAATGGATGAAAGGACGCAAAGGTACACCGTGGTATATTTGGAAGTGAACCCCACAGAAGAACCGGAAAAATTAGATGCCGCCACCGAAGTAAAAGCAGAAACCACAATACCCACCGCCATAGTTGAGAAAGAAACACCACAGAGAAAAACAAAAACAACAGCAGTACAAGCAGCAACACAGAAAACGATAACCCTGCAGAAGCCAGATTCAAAGCCCGAAGAAAAACAAACCGCCCACAAAAACGTCGCAACGGAAGAAAAACAAACCAAAGACACCGGCACAATGCATCAAACCAAACGAAAGGAAACAACCAATCAAACACAAACTGACACATATATAGAACCCGACATCAAGCAATCAGAAAAAATGGAATACACTCCAAAAATTCAAGAAGCAACATCACAAAAGATGACACCAAGCGCCATACAAACAAAAGCAACCGGATTAAGCATGAAACAAATCACAATTTGTTACGAAAACCAAACAATACCAACATTAACGATTGAACAAAAAACCACAAAATATATCCCATCGATGTGCAGCGCAAGCGCATTCTACGCCGAGTCCAAACACATCGCACACGCCGCCACGCAACATCTGATAACAGCACAGCAACCACCAATATTGCAAATACACAGGGAACCTACGAAGAGAGCTGCACTCGGGCCAAAGGTGCAAATACAAACCGAAACACTCACACAAACGACACCGCATATAATAACGGCAAGCGCATTTACGCCGAGACCAAACACATCGCACACGCCGCCCCGCAACATCTGATAACAGCACAGCAACCACCAATATCGGAAATACACAGGGAACCTACGAAGAGAGCTGCACTCGGGCCAAAGGTGCAAATACAAACCGAAACAC